GCAATGGAAAGAGAGTTGGAAACACCAATAGTCTAAGATGAAGCTGTATTCTAAGAATGATGTGAAGCCTTCATAGGCAATTTTGCAGCCAGTACCCTTGAAGCTTATAGTTGGGGCATGGCTTCGGAGATATTCCAGGGCAATCTCGCATCCAATGACCCTTCAAGTTTGCAATTACGACAAACTCCGAGAAAAGTACCTTGCTGAGATCCTTGAGTACATAATTGACCATGATCTTTCCGATAATGCCCCTGGTTCGAGTATTGAACTCGAGATTGAGTAGCGAGCATCGTAGTGGTAGGCGAGGGAGTAGTGTTCAGAAGACGAAGGTGCGTCTCCGCAGAAGTAAACTTTGCAACATCATCTATAAGTCGCGGAAGTGGTGATCTATGAATATGAGCCCTCAGCAACTCAAACTCATGGCGCAATCGCATCTCAAAATGATATAGATGATGATGATCAAGTTGAGCCTCAAATTCTCAAGCAAAATCAAATAATGACATTGGGACAATCACCTCCATCATCTTGAGTTCTTCCCAGTAGTTGGAGAGAAGAGTATAGAACTCCTAAATATATTAATTATCCTAGTGAGTTTCCTAAAGGACTTGATGTAACTGATACTCTCTGGCAGCTCCAGTTTGCATGAACATGTAGAAAAGTATAATCCACTATTCGCGTGAAGTAGAGAGACGATCAATAGATAGTCGAATAGTACCAGATATGGATCGCATAATATAAGCCATAATATCTTGATCCATATGATTCCACTGCTGATATATAATTTCTCCACTAATAATATTAACCCCTAGTGTAGCTATTGAATCATCAGTTGTAAAGCACAAATCCAAATGACGCAACAATCGTAGAGGACTGAGGGCATGGAAACAAAACAATCAATACATCCCCACAACATAAATGTACAGACATTATACTGAATAGTTAACGCCCATGTCATGTAGTTTCAACTCCAATGAGTTGAATATCAACAGCTGGGAAGGTGTAGAGTTCCTACTTATTCATGATAATTATCCAAATGTTTTTTTTTCAAAAGACGAATCTGTTCCAAAGAATAGAAAGTGAGCAAATCTAGAAAGTGGGCAAACCAAGTTCTAAAAAACCCCTAGCCGAATCAATTTCGCGCCTCTAGAAACCCTAATCTCTAGGCTCCATCAATTAAAGTCCCAATTCAAAAAAAAAACTAAGGGCAAGAATTGGACCAATCAAACAAGGCTGATGCATGTCATCGTCCGCAAGAAGGCCCCGAACATGGCGGCGAAGAAAGACGAGAAGACAGTCAATGTCGTTTGTTGGAGTAGCACCGAGATCAAGACCGTAAAGAAGTCTACTGCTTGCAGAGTTGTCATCGAGTTCGATGACGAGTGGCTATGAGTTTGACAACTGTAGTTCAAACTAGCGGCTATGAGTTCGATGACGACCAAGGTTTTAAATGTCGGCCGATATGTCGGTTTGAGCGATACGACATGGGCGTTTTCAACTCGTACGTCGATTTTCAGGGTCAAATCGAAAATATCGAGGTCATATCGGACATATCGATCGATTTTTCATCTTTGAAAAAAAGGCCGATATGGCCCTTTTTTAGATCTATTTTTCGTTATCGCGTTTGGGTTTAGTGATAAAAATCCAAACCCCTTTGACCCGTTCTCATGTTTAAGGACTTCTTATGAACCCGATAGAAAGAAAAAAGAAAAATTAGGGTTGCAGCGGACTTGAGAACCCATCACTCCTTTTGTGAACGACGACGCCCTTCCCTCACCTCCATCTCGGCCCCCGTCGTTCATCTCCCGTTACGCCCCGAAATCCGAACCCTAACCAAACTCGAGGACGGCAGGGTATCTTGTCGTCAGCATAAAAGGAAGAAGGTGGTCGGTGACTCATCTGAAGGACCCCGAGCAGACGAAGAAGAAGAAGAAGAGCGT